CCCATGAACCTCCAAGTATACCCTAACCCTGAAAGCCAGAACCCGAGGCAGGGGGCGAAGGGCCTGGCCCTCTCTGCCTTTGCATTAGCTCCGGCCCAAGGGCGGGGGAGCTCAGTCAGTCTGGTTTGTAGGATTTCAAGGTTTGGCGTTTTGGGTCTTGAGGTCTTGAGGTTGGCGGCTTCGGATTTCGATTTTGGGGTTTGGTGCGCAAGGGCTTCGGGTTGGGGATTTAGGGCTTGGGCGGCTTGGGCTTAGGCGCCTTTGTGGTTTAGCTTTGGGCTGGCAGTCTGCAAGAATCCCCAGTCGGACATTCACTTCGATTGAGAGCGCCCAGTCTGTCTAGCAAAGATGCTACCTTTGATTTTGGGGGGCCACCTAAACTCATTTTTACTGCATGCCGAAGCTCTGATTCCGAGGCAAGAACCTCCGAAGGAGCTGCTGCTGAACATCCAAAACCTTTTCGCCGCGAGCCTTGAACATTCTTGGTCCAGCTTTGCTCATCGTTGCACTTCAGATTTCCAGAAAGTTGGTGTCGCTGCTGGTATCGTGGCTGCCTCCTTGCTATTATTGCTATATGCTCTGCCAGTGGCCATCGTAGTGGAAAAACCATCTGGCCTAGTGCTATGTATGGGGGGGAAGAGGAGCCGGAGATCCAGATGCACATGAAGATGATACCTGATACCTTAAACCCTGAACCTAAAACCCTCCTTGGAGCGGAAGGGAAGAGGAGTTCAATATCAAGAACCTTAGCCCCTATAAGCCCTATACCCCAAGCAGGTTCATCTCCGTTCACCAGAGCCTGAAGCACTTCAGCTCCGAGGTGCTTTTCCTGGTGGGCAACATGACGAGTGCCCGTCCGGCCGGATCCTTAGTGTGTGGAGTGGTGAGAGATACATGCTCAAATGGTGACTCCAGATACAGATCGCAGGACTGCGGTGTCAGATAGAAGCCTAATGACTACGAAATAGTAGCCAACTTTGTCTTTAGGCTTCCTTATTCTCGTTCTGTTTCGTACAGTATATCCCGCAAACCCTGTTCTAACTGTTAAGGCCCCTGTATAGTATTTGCACAGTTGAACGCCGAGCCTCCGCTTGCACCCGACGCTCTGAGACCTGCCTCCCTTCCCAAAGGGTGTGAGCATTTTTTTCTTGTCTCTACTGTCCTCTTTCAGTCTCCATATAACTTTTTGGCTGTTATAGTTCCCTTCATTAAACTGCATGCCGTCTACGATGACCACTCTGAGGATCTGCCCTGATCGGGCTTACTTTTAGGTTTCCGAATACCTGCAGACGGGAAGCCAGAACGGTGTTTTTGCAAATGCACATACCTTCGTCAATTTGCCCACCATTTGCATATGATGTATTTGTTCGGGACAGGGAGGGGGGAAGCGAATGCAGCGAGTCCTCATCTTTGTCAGGACCTGCGTGCCTTGAGGCGCACAACTGGAATGATGCAGGAGGCCCAGGAGTGACCTCTTCTGAATTTCACGTGCCCTAAACCCTGAACCCTAAACCCTAAACCCTAAACCCTAAACCCTAGTCTTGCTCATGATCAGCTGTGGTGAATAGAGCTTCCGGCCTCTTCGGCCTTGTTGAGACGTATGCCGCCTGCGATCTCGGTCGCCTTTGTTGCAGCTCTCTAAAAATAGGGGCTTTCATAATTAGAATAGGGTTTTGGGGTATATTATACTATCATTATACTCAGGAAACCCCCCAAATAGTATAGGCTAGGCAATTATTTAGGCCCCTTATTACAATGCTTTCGCCCCGGTTCACCAAGTCCGAACAACATTCTCGTGGTCCATCGCGGGGGTGCGTCAGCTGCCGGCATCGAGGCAGCCCCAGTGTGTTTTCAGTAGACAAACACGCACATACATTGATTGCGAGCCTGGCTGTGGAAAAAGTTGCAGCGATACGTCCATGGTAGTCTCGCTAGCAACGGCAATCAATAGTAATACTTCTGTTGAGCTTTATTGTGTTACCTTGGGTATCATCGCTGGTGCCTTTTGTCAGGTGACTATGATTATGGAGTGTGATCACCACACTGTTGCAACGTGCATATGTACCGTCGCAGCCTGTACTTGTTTTAAGGCTCCTGTTTATCCAAGGACGACCAGAACACCGTACAGGTGTTCTTTGATTATCTATCCTTACAAGAGCACTGACAAAGTGGGTATCTGCATGACAGGGTTTGAGAGGCGAAGACAGGTGTTAAATGGTCGGAGTCCCTGGCGTCATCCTGATCTGGTCTCAGGTGTTAAATGGTCGGAGTCCCTGGCGTCATCCTGATCTGGTCTCAACGGCAGCTGTCAAACTTGTAAAGGATAAGCAGGGCGAGTGCGATATTCCGTCGTATCTGTTCACCGGGCCTTGCTTGAAATCCTGACGTGAGCAGAATCCCAGAAAGCTCTTTTACAATCACTACACCGCAAAACCCAAACCCTAAAACCCCGTTATCGACCCTATCATGTGGATCCCCTGAAAACGGCGCCCAAAGCTTGGTCCTCCGAGCGCGGACCAAGGCGGAGTTCGGCTTTCGAAGCTTAGACCTCGGGCCAGGCGCAGTGCGGGTGTGCTTGGGGGGTTTAGGGTGTCGGGTTTCGGGCCTACGGTTTATAAGGGGAGGTTTGGGCTCTGGGCTTAGGGCTGCTGTTTGTTGATGTTGGTTTTTGGTTTTGAGGTTGAGGGGCTCCTAGGATCGTTGAGCTTGCAGTAGGGCTCTGGCCTTGGGTTCAGGGCTGCAGAGGAAGGGATATTTGCGCAGTTGCAGCGGATGAGGTTGAGTAAACCATAGAGCCTAGGCCTAAGCCCTAAACCTCGAATTTTTGGTGAGTTCCGGTGTTGAAGTTTTAGAATTCAAGAAATTCCGGACGTGGGGATCGCAGGGTTTGGTGATGACGGCAGCTACCTTGCAGAAGCCTGGCATAGTTAGTGTAGTAGTCTGAGCCTGAGAAGGCTTGGGATTGAGCTTCGGCCACCCTCTGCTGGTCATACATGTCTCTTTGCCAAGTTCGTCTTTCGTTTGGGTCCTTCCGAACCCCTCTGCATGCTGTGAAGTGGACTCAATTTCGGGCGTCCGTGGAGGCAGCTATAGAGTTCCCCAGCCGTAAGGCGAAACGGCAGCTGTGTGTTGCATGCCCGCCTCCCGGTGAGATCGAGCGCCACCATCAGAAAGACGGTTCACGACAGGAAGAGTTCCCAACTAAACCAAAGCCTGAATACATGGCATGAGTATTGAAAACCCTGAGATCGACACGCCTTGTCGCCACCCTCAAAACACGGCTTTTATTACTTTGCGCGCTAGGCCTGAGCTCCTAACCAAGCTCCGACAAGCAACTGTACAGAGGGCCTCGAAACTGGTGATCCCCAGCGCACCAACCCTACTGATTCTGATGACCCCAGGGGCACGGCGATCGAAGAAGGCATCGCTGGGGTGTCTTGGCTCCTTCAGAGCAGCCAGCGATTCATTGTCGATGATGACGTGGTTTTCTGGTGGTGGTCGGGACGGCGGCGGTGACCGCGATGCAGATAATGATGATGGTGATGCTGATGATGATGAAAGTGACGAGAACAATCGCGCTGGCATGGCGCTCGCGAGGTATGTTGATCCTGGTCCAGGTTGTTGTGGTTGCAGACTTCCTCTAGTCTCCCGCTCAACAACACAGGCCTAGTTCATTTCGGTAGGGCATAAGCTAGCTGCTAGCTAATCCATAGTATTCCCTCATGGCCCCGCGTCATGCGTTCTCCTACAACATACCCGTAACACCTTGCTCTGTTCTTTTGATGAAGTGTAGCACTAAACCCCCAAACCCTAAACTCTACACCCTAAGCCCCTAAACCCTGAACCCTAAACCCTAAACTCCTGGACCCTGAAAACCGTAAACCCTAAACCCTTCATGTTAGTTTGCCTGTGTCTATCCCCTCTAAGGTTAGAAGTATGGGCCCCTAAGATGGACCCTTAGGCCTTTCTAGGGACCCTGAAGGGTACACATAGGGTATATAGTAGGTGTATAAGGATCCCTGGGTTAAGGGCCCATACTAGGGGCCCATGTGTTCAACCTTACTTGGAGGTTCATGGGTAGTTATAAGTGAGGTTATAAGTAGGGTAACTATACTTATAATCCATATTCGGGGACTTATAACCCTACTCATAACTACCCACGAACCTCCAAGTAGAAAAGCCCAGCAAAGGCGCCCAGTATAACCCCCAGGTTTGCCGGCCTCGGGCTCCGGGAAGCGGCTGCTGCTGCGGCCGAGGTTAAGGCCGATAGCGTAGGGGTTTAGGGTTTAAGGGTTTCGGGCTTAAGGGTTTAAGGGTTTAGGGTTAAGGGTTTAGGAGTAAGGGTTTAGGGTTTAGGGGTCCTTAGAGGTTTCAGAAAAGCTACAATTACGAACACTATTTTGTGTTCCGTGAGATAATTGCACTATACTACTACCCTAAGGCCATCGGGATTCCATCGTGTTTAGGGTTTAGGCTGAGGCCGGTAGCAAAGGGTGTTTTCCGGTTTTGGTGTGCATTGTGCGCCGGGGGGGGGGGAAATGAGGGTCTCAGGGTTTAGCTCTTGCTTTATTGGGGTTCCATAACAGGCTTATGTAATTCTTCTGCTTTAGGGCTTTTCGACTTTGAGGTTCTTCTGCTGTTGGGAGTTTAGGCGGCTGCAGAGTTTCACAGATTAAGCGCTGAATGTTTTCCTAGTTTTTGAAGGTCTTTTGGACTTAGATGTAGAGACTCAGGGGTTTCTCAAAAGCTTTTGGGCACAGGGGTTTAGTTAGGGTTTAGCGGTTATTTCCGGGTTCATGCGTCTTTCCATGTCGGCGTTGGCTTTGCGGTTGCTTTTGAGCAGGGGCCGTCGGGTTGTTTTGGTATTTCCAAGGTTTATGGAATTGAGTCGTTCACGGTCGCTAGCTGCTAGCTGGGCGGCTGTTTGTTGATGCGCACAGCATTTCACACATAGTTTTCATCACAAACTCTTATCATCCTTGCTGTTATCATCGTTGCTACTTCGAGATCCCTTCTGGGAGGCCAGCGGCATCATCGTGCTTGAGGAAGGCCTGGCAAGTTTCACGAATTCGGCTCCAGGAGCGGAAGACCTCTTCTGTAGGTTGCGACGCCGTAAACGCCGAAGCCCCTACCTAAAGCCCTAGGGGTTTAGGGTTTAGGGCTTAAGGTTTAGGGTTTAAGGGTTCAGGGGTTTAGGGTTTATAAGGTTCAGGGTTTAGGGTTTGGGGTTTAGAGCCCCAGACCTCTTCAGCGAAGTTCTGAGCTCGGAGCCCCTTAGTGCGCAGGCCAAGCCTTGTCGTCGGACTTCTTCATCTTTCACGGCCAGCTCCTCTCCATGCTCCAGCGCCCCTTGGCAGCTTAATGTAGAGGCCTAAATCACTACCTATACTATTTTGGTACTTTGGGGGTTCCTCTTATTATAATTATAGTAAGGCCCCTATACTGTTTATTATAATTATAGTATAACGGGCCCCAAAACCCCGTTCTAATTTTCAAGGCCCCCTATATCAGTGCCGAGCCGGCCCCTAGTCCCTTTTTTCTGTTCGCGGAGGGTGGTCGGAAGTATTTGAGGATCCGAGTCAGCGAACGCGCTTCCCAACGCCGCAAGATATCCAATGCCAGAAGGAATTAGTAAGACTGTTGTGATGACAACCCGGAAGGTTTTTTGTATACAATATCAACTGCAACAGACCGAATGTCGTACGGACTAACAGGAATGTCGAACATATGCAAGACCGTAACAGCAGCCTGCATGACTTATTGCGAATTGTCGAAGGCGATCCAACCCTGTGGTGTGTCAGCGCCTGGAATGAGAATGCGCACTGGCCCCAGGGAAGCCTACACAGTAGTAGAAGGGTGCCATCAACAGCAACAGAGGCGACTCATTCTGCCACAGTCTTGCAACATTGAGCTTGAGTTGATATCGGCGCTGAGTTCCCGTAAGGCTTCCAGGTACCTTACCTCATATCTTTGCTGTCTGCCGGGCGTCGAGATTTCTCCGAGGATAGCGCCCTATGCGGCGGATGCCACAGTGGTCCTACGTCCGACCCTCAGGACTCAAGGATCGAAATAGTAAGAGAATGGCATCTGTCTATGCTAATTATACTATATACTGTACTATGCCATAGTAAACTATAGGGATAGTACATCATATTATACACTATACTACTAGACCCTATGAAGATACTGAGCCAGCCGAGCTCAGGAACGGACTGGTTCTCGGGCGTGGCATGGATGGTCACAGTGGCAGTGCCCCGAGTTTGCTTCCACATCAGTTGTAGGGCATGCGGTCAGTCAATCAGATTGATGGCTCTTAGTTTCGTCACTTCTTGTGTGCACTCTACATCTCCCAGCAGCGATGGAGACATCGGTACCACCAGAAATCACAGGCCCTAAAACTCGAAATGGCCCAAATATTTGTGAGTAAACCCTATGGCTTTCGGGGCACAGGTTTACCTGCGGACGGAAAAGAGACATCAAAACAAGCACCAACCTCACCATCAGCAGCCTAGGACCTGCTGGAGAAGGAGATGCTGCCAAAGTGGCAGGAGGCCAGGATTTAGGGTTTAGTGGTTTAGGGTTTAGGGTTTAGTGGTTTAGGTTTAGGGTTTAGGGCAGTGGCGCCGGACTCGCGATTCCCAACAAGAAAGCTCCTGTAAGGCTTTGTGGCCCGAGATTCCAAGTAGCAAGTTGGAGTCTATTGATATTGATCGTGGCCACCCGTAAATCTACATAATGTAGGGGCCTAAATAATT